TGGCTGTGCTGATTTAAATCTAGCGGTTCTTTTGTGTTTGTGTCGCAAGTTCAGTGACACAGGTAGTGACGATTCTCTCCGGCCAATGCGGGATCAGCAGAGTTTACACGTCACGTTTTGGTAATGGTACGGTTCACTTGGAACCTCAACCGAGGTGGTACTAAAAAAAGTACCAGGTACTGTACCCAGTGGAAAACCCCCCAAAAGTGAACCGTACCGTGCCGTACCATGCAGTGGAAAAGCGCCATAAGTGAGATCCCAATTCGTCGGTCACCGACGTGACGTCGAGAGTGACAGACTGAAAGGGAACAGCATTTATTTGAAATAGAAAGCTTTTGTTACATTATAAATGTATTGACGTGACAAATGACTGACATTTTTGTTAAAATAAAGGTTTTGAACTGTAGTGTATATTATAAAGCACAATAACCTTACCTACTTAGCATTATAGAAAATTCTGCAGATAAATAAGAAGTGTCTTTCTTCATGATCATGTTCATTTAGTGAAAAAAGTAATAAAAACATGCCTTTTCATTCATCTTTCATCTTTTTCATTTTGTCTGGACTGTAACGTGAGAGTGAATGTAATTTTGTCTTTTAGTTTGGAAATAAGGTGGTGGCCAATGTGGCCTGTGACATCTTTCAGCTACTGATTTCTCACTGGCAGCACTTACAGAGACTGGATCCGTCCCTTCCCCAAAGAATTATAGAGGTACAAACCATGTCCCTCAGCATGATGCATCTGTTGTAGTATTGTGTAAGGGACGCCTGCTTAATCGCCACTTTTCATCTGTTGTAGATTTTTGTAGCAACCATAGCCTTTCTTCTGCCCAGTGCTGAACACTCAACAGTTGAGGCAGATAAAAAGGTAAGCAAGCAAAACATCTCTGTTTGTGTAAGCAGTGCTGGACATGGGAATTCAGAATGAGCAGCACACGGCACTTCATTCAGTCTCTCTACTCGTTGTTCCATCCTTCCTAACAGCTTGTCTTTGGCAGGTTTATTGATTGTTTTGTGGTCGTGTCAAGAGTGTGCTGAATGAATGCTTTCTCCGTGTACTCTAGTTAATGGTGTCTCTACTGCTGTGCCTGCTGGATTGGTGCATGGCCGTACCTCTCTCCATCCTGCTGGAGCCCATCACTATGCCTGTGCTGGACGACCCCGCATCGCAGAAAGCCCCTCTACTCGACTACATTTACAGGGTGGGTACAGGCATACTCTAGTTTGTTACTTCAAATTAAAGCCGAAATATTCCAGCGCATGTGTGTGTGTTCTAATATAAATGCACTCGTCCCCTCAGAACTCATATTTAGTCATCAGACACTAATGAGAGGGCATTGAGGGGCACAGAATAAATGAGATATTAGTCCCGGCCTGTTGTGCAGATGCAGACAGACACAGACCTTTGTGCAGATGTCATGCTCCCAGAAAAAAATGGCCAAATTATTTAAATGTCCCATTGTTGGATTGATAAGCTCACCAATGAATGCTGAACTCAAGAATTCAGTTCATCATCATATGAGAGAAAATGCACCTGCTGCAAAGGGGGAAAGGGAAGAATAAATGTCCTTTGTTTTCCTCTGCACTCGTTTGACTGTTAATCATTTTCCGCTAGTTATTATATGCTCAGTGGGATTACTTTAATCTCTCATTTGTCAGAGCTGAATAGCGTCTAATACGAGCACATGTACGTAACCCTCGCCAAGACAGCACACCAGTACTCGTACATTCGAGTGACGTGTCTCAGTTAAATGCAAGAAATAATGATTAGCATCTCAAACCTATAGTACTACTCAAATAATAATTGGTAATGACTGTTCTTTAATGTTATGGTCAGTGGAGTGCCAAGAAGAGCGTCTTCATGGCTGAAGTAATTGTGAGTTGTTGATCCTAACAGAGCTCGCTATTTGACGCATTCTCATTAGGCTTTCAAAATGCATTAACATCTAAACAATGCCATTAGTATCTTATGCATTACATTTTGTATTTGTAATTCAGTCTAGAACAACAAAGAATGCAGCTCATTATTAAATAAATGATCTCCCTTTTTTCCAAAGGTGTCCCCCAGGGTTCTGTATTAGGCCCACAAATCTTTTTTTTTCTTTAGTCATTCTTTTTGTAGTGTATTACCGGTGTACTTAATTCACTGTTCTGCTGTCTTAGGTGCTGCACACTTGTGTATCAGGGTCTAACCTGCACACTCAACAGAGCCACTACCTCCTCAGCCTTGCTGATCTGTCGACAGACTATGAACCCTTCCTTACTTTAGGCAATGTCAAGAGCTTTGAACCACCACCCATCCACAATGTTATGGGAGACTTTGGAAATCTCCTCACAGTGGCTGAAGGTAAGGACTTGTTGTTTTCTGTTTTTAGGAGTAACATAAAGACTTAAATTAAGCTTACTGCAATTGTGCTATGTTGTTGTCTACAGCACGTTTTCTACAGCGTGCCTAGGGAAATGTCATGACTAATCTGTCATGAACTGTCCCGGGTCATATTTCACCCCAAAATCAAAAGAGAAAATAAAGTGCCTGTTTTTAAGACCATTAACTATATTGGCATCATTTTGCACTTTTAACCCTTCTCCCGTCAATTTTGGGGGGAGGGGGGTAGTTTAAATGATATTATTTATTTATTTATGTATTTATTGCCTTTTTTAAGTTGATTTGTAAAATACTAATACTAATGGTTCCAAATATGTATTTATATATAGTGAGTTTATCTATATTTCATGACCTTAAGTATTCATTTTTGTCATGAAACCTTATTAAATGTAAGAATTTTTGCTTCACATCAACACAAATCACTCTTTAATGTCTATAATGTAAGGGCAAGTTTGACTAAATTTACTGTGCCAAATTTTTCAGCATTAATTGTGAAACTGCTGCAGAAAAAAGAACGTACAAAAAAAGGAACATTTTTATTTTGTCCTGTGAGTTTATCCTGAGCTCTCGTGAATCATATTAGAGCAAATGTAGCACAATGTGAAATGAAATAGAATTTTAAAGAGGTGTGCATTAGTTCCCTCATCCACTCAAAGCAAGCCCATTTATGCCAATTATTAAAGAAATCATTTTTTCCTCCTCCGACCTTGCTTTATCCATTAGGCAATATTTCTTGTGTGTTTTCTACCTTGACATGTCATCAAATGTCACCTGTTTTTGGTGGGGTTGGGCTGTGGGCTGTGGGGGGTTGTTCTTTCCTCTTTCAACAGGGATGCCTTTTATAACAGTACATTTATATCTGTGGAGTAGAGGAAGAAAAAGAATGCTGGCTTTTGCAACGCAAACACCTCCATCCATTGACATGCCTTTTATATCTCTGTGTACGAAAAAAAACAAAAAAAACAACCTCAGCCAAAGAACAACTCATAAGCAATATCCCACTACCTATCTCATATTGATTAGTTTACTTCAAAGCTCTGTGCATCCCTAATGCAACTTGCTCGTCTTTGCAAAGAGCTTTTTCCACTTTTATGGGTATGATGGTATTGATAGCACTGTCACAATGTGAGCACTTCATTTTTTCCCTCTTCTCTCTCTCTCCCATCTTAATCTTAATATTCACTAATGACAACGCTAGATTTCTCACTTTGAGAGGTGTTCAGCATTCAGAGGACTTTAATTCATAGTGCTTGCAGAGCCCTATTCACTCATCACGAAAGGTGTGATGCTCATTAGTGCAGCCCTTTGAGTCTGTTTTGGGAGAAAGAATAGATATTTTAAAGGTGTCCGTGTAGACACCCGTGCATGGTGCAAACGTGGGAAAATGGCCTCCATTGGTCATGACAGCTAAAAGCCAGTATACGGACCAGATTTTGAGAACAAGTAAAGGGAAAATACTGTACTGTCCACAGTCAGCCGGCCGGGACTTGTATTACCCTAAAAAGTCAGTCATACAGCAGTCATTATACAAAAAATATTTACCTGATTGTGTTTTCCAATCAGAATCAAGTATTCCAGAGAAATGTGTAATAATTTGTGATACTGGCCAGCTGACTGTAAATCATCCCACTTGCATGGCTACTTACCAAATAATAATTAAATTAATTAAAAAGGAAATATTGATTTCAGTTTTAATTTTTGATTATGTGAGAAGAGAATTCAGAGTGATATGAAACTAGCACAACTATGTAGGGAATGGATTGCCACTGACAACTAGTGGTTGACAAATATACGTTTTTCAGTGTCCGTTGCCTATACTAATATGTACATATCAGGCTGGCCAATGTAAGACATGATACACAAAAAGTTCAACTGAAAATATTTTTGTACATATTTACAAAAAATTGCATTTAAAAATATAAATTGATTAGATGGCCATACATTTTAAAACTAAACACAAGTAATGATACAAGTAATGAGTAACTCTTCAGTTTATTGACCAATTGGACATATGACAGCCCTCTACGGACACTTTGGCAATTGAATCGCCATTGGCTAGTAAATTTTTTAGTTTACTCGCCAGACTGATAATATATATATATAT